AAGATAAATTCTCCTCCTGTCTGGTATAGCATACTTTTGAGTGCTTTAAATGTTTTCTCTGCCGTGCGGAATGCCAAAATGATCAGGATATTTATTTATTTTTTGCTTTTTGAAAAAGGGTCCAGGTCTCAATGAACTTTTGTTTTGTCATGGCTCAAATGTTTTTGTTTGAAAACGGGAGACATTCTCTGTCAGGTTCAGGGGAGACAGCTCATTTTCGTCACTGTTCAGACAACAGTATAACAGTAATAGTAGAACAGAAAGGCCCCTCAGTGCTTGACGAGCAGCAGCATCCTGCAGGATTGCCAAGATTTAGGAAAACCAGGTAATTAGGAGCTCAGTTTGAATAAGACCAGAACACTCCGTGACCTTCAAGGTCCCAGTGACCCTAGGAGGCCTGACACAGGCTTTTCTTCACATAAATGTGAAAATATTGCAATTTCTTTTTCTTTGCTCCTGAAAAGCGTGCAAATGTGTCTTTAAAAAAACTAGTTTTGAAAAGACTGAATGCTACCATCAACCAAGCTGTGGGTAATTGGAACATATGCAAGCCTTTTTTTATTTTAATATTAAGCTTTTTAATGTTTCTCAGGTACCTGTCCAGGAAACTAGGCTTTGTATGTGCTACCATCAGGCTGAGAGGCACAGAGCTTCAAATGGCCTTACCTTACTTTACCTTCCTTACAAAGCACTTTGCTCTGTGATATTGACTTTGGCTATGACATCAAACATGGTTGCTTAGTGAGCCTCAGACACCTAGGGCGCAGTGACAGCTATGGCACTTTATTATCTGGCTTCGTTTATTACTCTGAGCTCTTTCAAGCAGAATGAACATCTGTGCTCATCAGGCTGCTGTAATTACGAGACCTCTCACCTGAGACGATCTGACAGGGATTTGCCTGTAAGTACAGCAAAACAATGAATCATCCAACTACCGTTGCTTACATGGTGCTGAAGTCAAACATGAGCTGTTAATGCCAACGAACTCTGAGAACTTCATCACGTCCCACACAGGTAACTGTACATGGCTACATGCAACTCACAACTGGCAGCCCACTAAAGCTAAGCAGGTGTGAGCCTGGTCAGTACCTGGATGGGAGACCTCCTGGGAAAACTAAGGTTGCTGCTGGAAGAGGTGTTAGTGGGGCCAGCAGGGGGTGCTCACCCTGCGGTCCATGTGGGTCCTAATGCCCCAGTATAGTGACGGGGACACTATACTGTAAAACGGGCACTGTCCTTCGGATGAGACGTAAAATCGAGGTCCTGACTCTCTGTGGTCATTAAAAATCCCAGGGTGTTTCTCGAAAAGAGTAGGGGTGTAATCCCAGCGTCCTGGCCAAATTTCCCATTGGCCCTTACCAGTGGTGTTATCCTAATAATCCCCATCTATAAATTGGCTTCATTACTCTGCTCTCCTCCCCACTCATAGCTGATGTGTGGTGAGCATTCTGGTGCACTATGGCTGCCATCGCATCATCCAGGTGGGGCTGCACATTGGTGGTGGTGGAGGGGAGTCCCCATTACCTGTAAAGTGGTTTGAGTGGAGTGTCCAGAAAAGCGCTAAGTGTAAGCAATTATTATTATTAATTATAAATCAGCATAGTTTTCACTGCCCTGCTGAAGTAAGCTTGACATCACCTATGCTTTCAATTGAGAACACTGCTGTTCTCAGGGCAATAAGTAAAGAACAGACTATGACATAACTGTCCAACAGAGATCAAACTTTAACGCATTTAATCATTGAGAAAACATGTATTAATTATGAAACATTTAAATATTGTCCCTGCCTCAGCGCATAGATTGACAATTGAATGATTTTCTCAAGCTGTCGCATGAATCCAATTTCTCCACTAGTTCCCCTCTCACATCTGCTTCTAAACCCTACATCTCTCCTACCGCTGTGTCAGCGCCTCTGCTCCTGCCTCTCCTCGGTCTCCCTGCACCCTTGCTCGCCCTCTCCTCCTCCTCTTCAGACACTCTTCTCCTCGGGGGTGGCAGGAGCTACCCCAGAAACCAGAACTGCTCAGTCTCAGACCAAACTTCAGCGGCTGGTCAGGCCCCACCTGTCATCTCTCAGCTCTCAGCCAGCTCCTTCCGTAACTGCACTTCCAGCATCAATGTCCCTGCATTATTTTACCTTTACTAATGAACTACCCTGCTCCTTCTTCTCTGCAGTCTCTTACCTCGCCCTGCACCCCCTCTTCAGCCAGACTGCCTGTACCCCCTCCACCCTCAGGGAAGAAGTGAACTAACCCAGAAATCAGACTTGCCCGGTCCCTGACCACACTGCACCTGTGACCTTTCAGCTCTCAACAGCACCCTTTTGCCACTGCCAACTTAAATTGCACACATTCTTTTAAGTTTGAATCTGGTACTGTAATTTGCTAACTACTCACAGTAAATGTGAAATACATGCCAGTACTGTGTCATAACTGCCTGTATCTGCACTGTCCGTACAGAACTGACATTGTGTGACTTTTCACTTTCCATTGTTTTGTACAGCACTTGTTACACTTCCAGTTTTAGCGCGTGAGCCTTGCTGTCATTTTATTAATTTAAATGTGTTTTTTTTTTTACTTTGAAAGCAGTTACCACCTTGTAGCCCAATCTTGTCTGATCTCAGAAGCTCGGCAAGGCTGGTCCAGACAATGCTGTGATGGAAGATAGGATTTGAAAAACCAGCTTACTGCTGTAAATTGTGTTGGCTGACCAGTAGGGGATGGTCTTCTATGTAGACTTTTTTTAATCCATTTTAATCCAATGCCTCAGTGTGGTGACCAAACACACTACTGTAGGAGGTGCTGTCTTTTGAATGAGGCATGAAAAGCTGAGATCCTGACTACTTGGTTATTAAAGATCACATTTCACTGTCCAAAGGGGTGTTAATCCCGGTGTCACAAAGCGTTTCTTCAAGGTCCCTATGCAGACAGCACAATCCGGAGAGGAGTGAGGAAAACGCGAGGACAAAAGCATGCAAAGGGGCTGGAAGGAAAACAGGGGGCGTGTTCTAGGTGCGCTAGTGTTCGAGAGGGGTGTCCGAGGCAAACAGTCCAAAGGGTGTCCACAGAGAAATCTTTGACGAAGCAAATGTCCAGAGCTGGGTGGTCCATCCAAGACAAAGACGAACAGAGTTAAAAGCAGGAGCGGGATCTGGCGAAGGGTCAGGGGAATAAAAAGGGGGTAACGGGACCAGACGCTCCAGTACCAGACCCAGGTCAGGATGCCGTTGTGAAGCCTATGCCATTGCGTCGCACCTGGACTCGCGGGTAGGCGGGCTTCTGGGCGTCCATCTTCCAAAGCTGAGCCCCGATAGGCAGGAACGTCTGGCTTTTATAGGACAGGGGGCAGGAACCAGAGGCAAGTGCAGGAGATGAGTACAAAACAAGGAAGGGCTGGAGCGTCCTTAACAGGAGGGGTTTACAAGCGTGACACCTAGGAGCAGGGGCATCCTGGCTAAATTGCCCTCTGGGCTTGCACAATCTGCCCCCCCTCTTAATTTCTCCTTGAATTCAATTCTTGAAGTTAATTCTAACTTCTCAACCTGGCTGCTGATACAGAATGACTGCCTAGATGGGTTCTTCACATCAGTTCTGGTTGAGCTAAGCTCCTTTCTATATGTAAAAGTTCTTTGGTATCCTTCAAAGAATAGAGGTGCTATACAAAATCAAGCAATTATTATTATTATCATTTCAGAATTCAAAGTCATCATAAACAAACACTAGGATAACCTCAGTAGTTGATTATACGTCTCCCAGGTGTTACATATCCCTGCTATTGAACCAATGTAACACAAAAGCAGACATGCAATCATTTACTATGCCATGCATGTGAGCTACAATTACACATTTTTACTCTGAAGGTGCATTGTGCTCATTATTTATATTTGATCCTATGTTTACTCGGTGCGTTTCCAAGTGGGAACAAAAGTATTTGATCCACAGCAGCGCGGTTTAAATCTGTGACTGAAACCCGAGAATCGGTTTCAGAGCTCAGGATCACCAAGCCATCAACTCTGCCTGTCTGCCCCCTTCCCATAGGGTAGGTGCTGTCAGAGGGCAAGAGGCGTCTCCCGTTTTCTGAGGAACACGTTCTGAGAATCACCAGTGGAAACTTTACCCTGGGCCACTCTTTGAAGCTGCTCAGCTTTATCAAGTCTAACCCACAGGGGGTGAGGGACTAGACCCAAAACAATTCAGCAAATGTCCCAGAAAGATGTGTAGTGATGGGGGTAGTGAGTAATGTGTTCCCCTTAAAAATAAACTGATTCTGTCTTTCCCCAATGACCTGTCTATCTCCATTTAGCTTCGAGATAATAACGCATAATTTACAGTATTTTAAGGTGTAAGAGGGCAGTAGGTTCAGATAAGAATCTCAATTTTGCCTGAACCTACCATCCTGTTACAAAGCATATGTTATAGAACACAACCTTTAAGCCATAATGCTTGTGGGTCTAGCTGGTGGTAGAACCACATTTCTGTTCCTTAAACTTGTTTGAAACAGACTCATCTTCATTTTGAAAACTGTCTTGTAAAAATAAACCACAAAACGGGCAAAGAGAGCTTTTCCACCTGGCACCAGAAAGTGGATCCTTAAATGTGCAAATTCCTGTCACTTCCAGTGAGACGTGATTTCAAAAGTGAACTGGAGCACCGAAATTCCTAAACCAAACCAACAGCACAAAAAAAAAGAAAAAATAATCCTCATTCTTAATAATGCTGTAAATGGATCATTTTCCACTGGGCAAATCCTAGAGCAGATTAACCAGAAAGTCTAAAGGTTACCTCTGTCAGAAAAAAATGAGAAAAAAAACTCTCAGCTGCATTTATGCTACAGCAAACCCAAGGCATTTAATTAGAAAAGAGAGCATTGACAGGATTAAACTCAGCTATCTCAGGCTATAGGTAAGTGTTTATCTTGTTCCTTTCTCAGCAAAATAAGTTCCGTTGCAACTTGGACCACTGAGTCCTCAGCGCCTTGGCCCAAGCTGCGAGCTCTCTTACCCGTCTCCAGGCGCCCTGTGGTTAGTTTCCCAGCCCTCTCCCTGTCCACAGAGGGATGCCCTGTCACAGAGCAGGCACTTCAGTCCCTGTCTGCATCTGAAACGTGAGAGAGATCCCGGTCACTCAGTGGGCACAGCGATCTGACCGGCCGTCCACTTGATTCCATCAGATTCGCGGCAGGGCTGTGCTGGGCTGGATAAGCTGCTTATGAATTCTGCACGGATTGGGACACCAGTGCTGGACAACAAGCAGCTCCGCGAGGAAGTGAATGATATTCGCTCTGCCCGGTGCAGCCAACCACATGGGCCAATATTTGCAGCTACATGATTCACCGTGGGGGGGAACAGGGAGAAACACCACTGCCCCTTTGTTGCTAGGACACCGGGAGTTTCTGACCTGAATTCTCCGCCACGTCTAGTGTTTCCCTAGAAAACCAGTTGTGCCGCCCATTCGGGCTCCTTTTCAACAATGTTTTTAACTGAACCAGGAGATATGGATATCGTCAAAAGCTGTCACTGTAGTTCTGGTGCAGCAGGATACAGTAGGATTCACTGGATAAAAGGTAAAGTGCTTTTACTTATAAAGTTTCAAAAGTCATCACAGCACTTCTTAAATACTTTATTTTATTCCATATCCCTATTTTAACATACATTTTGTTATCTCTAGAGAGGTTATAAATGAGACCATTGGACATTAATAATAACTGATAAGACTTGTTGCCTTCTCTTGTGTATAATCTACAATTTGTTGTCAAACTTTTAAAGACTTAACAGTATTGCCAGAATGCCTGAATACAGCATTGTCTAATAGCTTAGTTCACCGATGCAAAAACTGAAGAATTCTTACCCCTAAAATATCACGACAAGCTATTTATCAACTTTGTTTTCAGGGACAAAATATTGCACAATTTCTGCATTTTTTACAACCAGTATTGAGGCAAAATACTTGTTATTAAATATGAACAAAATGCAAATCAAACAATATTTGTCTTTGCATATTCAGTTTGTGCAACTGAATAATATATCCTTATTCAAATCCAGTGTGAAATTAAATAAAACCTAAAACAATTTAAAATATATCACATACTAAACTACAAATACTGTTAAATTAAAGACCTACATGCTCTTCATAACCAAAACAAACATTCTATTGAGTCAAATACTATGATTCTAATGCACTACAGCACAAATCTATAAGTGAGGAATACTGGTTGTTTCTCATTAGGCTGCAGTAATATTAAAACAATCACTAAACAAAATCAAATCCATTTTTCTCCAATAAACTTAAACAGCTTTATGTGACTTTTAACCTTATGTGGGAACTCTAATGTGGACATGCAAATCTCTGTTATTGCTGTACACAAATATAAAAGGAAGCATGCAATAATGGTATACAGAGTGATATGTTTCAAAATACCTCAAGTTCTTACAGTAAAATTGTGTTCACAGTGCTGTCTTGGAGATACTGCTAGAAATCAATGTAGATATTTTGTTCAAATGACTGTTTGTTTCTCAGTTTCTCAGAAAGTTTTGATAGTTCATTAACACTTCAGGAAAAGGAAATGTATCCATTGTATCCAGCTCTCTGGATATATGAACATACAGCACTGTGGGCTGTCATGAAGCTGACACAAGTAGGAGCAGAATGAGGACAGGACTGTGGATATGTTCAATTAATGTAGCAATACATACACTGGAGTCTTACATGACCATTTAAATAGGAACACAATGCAACAATGGAAACAATTCAACAGAATCTACTCTAAAAAGTTCTACAGAGTGACATCCAATTTACAGTAAATTATACTTCCAGAACCAGGTATGGTAATCAATCCAGCAACAATGCCTTGTAGACTTTGCTGTTTCTCCCTCGTAAGTAACAGACAGGGCTTAGAAGACTACCCGCACGATTGCCGGGACCAAAGATTGTATACGGTTTGTATACGGTTTTAAATGAGTTGATCATAGTTTACAAACTACAACAAAATGAACCAGCATACTCACGTGGAAATGACATGAAAGTATACGTGGAGCGGTGGCACTGTGGCTAAGCATCTGTGCCTGTAGCTGGAAGGTTGCCAGTTCAAATCCTGTGGGTGGCAGAGGAATCCTACTCTGTTGGGCCCCTGAGCAAGGCCCTTAACCCCAACTGCTCCAGGGGTGCTGTATAAATGGCTGACCCTGTGCTCTGACCCCAAGCTTCTCTCCCTGTCTATGTGTCTCATGGAGAGCAAGCTGGGGTATGCGAAAAGACAAATTCTGAATGCAAGAAATTGTATATGACCAATAAAGTGATCTTATCTTTAAAAATGAGAACAAGAAGCAGTTCTCTATACAGAGGGTTGTGTGGGTGTGGATCAAGCTACCCAGCCATGTTGTTGAAGCCGGGCTTCTTTCAAGGAATGCTTTGATGAGATCCTCAGATCAATGATAGTCAATGATAGGAACTACTAACTCCCATAAGCAATAGATAGGGCAAATGGCCTCTTGTCATTTATAACTTTTCTTAAGAGCCAGAATGTATTCAGGAGAGTCAACTTAACTCCAGTGTTTAAGCTCCCTTTAGAAAAGAACTCTGAGCCCTATAAAGAGAAAAAAAATCTTTAACTCAGGCTATCCTAGATGGTGTAAGAAACTGAGAAGAAACTATGGTAAAGCTCCATGTTAGTTTGGCTTATCATGTTAGTTGTTTGGTCATGTCTTTCTTTGGTTTGCTTCGCAGTTTATTGTGCCCTTGAAGTCTATCATTTCAACCTTTCTCCTTATTGTGGCTTCCCATGGTATACAGTAGCTCCGTAAACGTTTGCAAAGGAAAGACACGCACCTCATGTTACTGTTGATGTAAGATGACTACTTCCAGAATTGTGTAGGAGTATGAAAATAAATAGTCCACCTCTCAAGACATTTGCTGGTTGACAATCTATTTGTGTCCCTCTCCCTCTGAAGACATTTTTAGTCTGCACTCTAAATGTGCCCTGCTACCCTGGGGGGGTTAAACTGAATGCCAGGACTGTCGGGCTCGGACTGGGAGTCCCGCTGATGAATAGTAACCAGGAGACACGGCTCCTCTCTCCACAGGCCATTGTTGAGCTGGGAATTGGAAAGAAAAGGTTCCCTCTGTGCCTGTGGAACAGAACCCTGAACAGCAGCCAGCAGTACCAAAGACATCCTGAAAGGGCTTTACTGTTCTGCACTCTGATTCAGCCCTGCTGTCACAAAGACTGCCCCTTGGGGTAAAAACCATACAGTTTTATTCTAATGACAAGGGGAAAATATAGCTCGCTTATACATCCATACCCATTTTCAATTAAGTCCTTAGGATCAAAGTGCCCAGAGCTCAGCAGAATTTAACAGCCGCTCCTATGAAGGTTAGTAGTATTTACATTAGATAACAGGACTCTTCTCTTTCAAAGCAGGAAACAATCAGTTCAGCTAGGTTGCCAGCAGGACAATATCATGAACAGGAATAAGGCATCGATCTATTTTCAGGAATACAAATTTGTGGGCTTGCTTGTTTTGCATACTTGCCATTTAAACCAGTAATCCTCCTGGGATAACACCTGAAGTCACTGCTTGAAACCCAGCACAGATCTTGTGATCATGGCGTGTTGAGTAGGGACATGTCTGTCTATCACCGAGTATGGGTTACAATTTAGCGCTACAAAATCGGAAGCCGATTGATCTGTCCAGTCATTCTGACTGCACAGCCATGAAGGAAGATGGCTTAACTTCCTGCAGGTCTCTTTCTAAGTCTTGGGATGCCTTTCTGAAACCCAGCAGTTTAAAGAGAGCAAAACCATTCACCTGTTCTAGAATTATTGGTTAAAATAAGGGGAAAATATCAGTGGCCGTTCTTCATTTAAGCAGTTCACTGTTAAATAGGGCTCAACCACAGTGACAGAACCAGACAACCTACAAAGATGTGTGAGAGTCTTTTTTGGCTTTTGGGTGAGAAAGGTGACACATCAATCTGTCCAGAGCTTAGAGAACAAGGTTCTGTTGTCCGAGTTATTGGGTAGATAAAAATACACAGGGGAGGATCCTTAGCTGTTGTCTTTCCATTAATTATTGACCAGGGCTGAGGAAGGTGATATCACACTGGGAAATCCTCTATGTCAAATGTTTCTGCTAGTTAGTCCTAGACACCCATCCCTAAACACCACAAGGAAAACACATCAAGACAGCTTGGGCCTCCTGGACCTATTATCAGTGGCTTACAGTGTCAAGCCATGTCTTTTGTCTTTACTTGCTGTTGTTGCTCACACAGGAATATTAAAACTGATACTCTCCCTCTGTCATTTTACATCGCCAAATTATTCCAAGTTATTTAGAACAAGTATCACAACACTTCAGCACAGCTTAAAAACAAAGAACCCCCTACTCCTAGAGTCAGGAAACTGAACACAACAGAAATCCTGCTGAATTTTTCCCAGACAAATCGTATTGCTATTCTGCATTATAAGCAAGCAGTTACAGTAATATTTCAAGCAGGGAGGACAGCAAGTGTGATTTTCTCTCTTGGAAGGCACCTGTCTGAATATGCCCAGGAAATACATTACTGTGGTGTTCCTAGAAAAGTACAGCAAGGGTAGCATTTATTGACTGATGCAGAAGTGAAACTGAGCCTCACAGTTCACTAGCATTGCTGCATCCACTAGGTAATCCAGACTTGAATATCAGCGCATCGGCACAAACAGAATAAACAGCATTCTCCATTCTCCAGATTTTATATGAATGTGAGTTTGTAATTAAATAAGGCCGGTGGGGCAAGATCCTGTGACTTCTTTGATAAGAGTAATTGTATCTTACAGAAATTCAATAAACCGCAAGAGCTATGAAGTAATTGGAACATCCAATGGAAAGTCAGAGGAGGACTAACGAGGCTCTTGCTTCTCAAAGGCAATCCTACAGTTAAGGCAATGATATGAATTACAACGATTATGTAATGATTGAATGCTAACGTGGTGGTGCTTTCGACCCAGAAGAAAATGTCTATAAACATCAACTGAGGGCAAGAAAAGATACATTATCTTTCTCAAGAAGTCCTTTCAGAACTTTACACAAATGATTTTAAATTTGTAATTTCAGCATTTGAAA